TAATGTACAAGGACGACAATTTCCCAGCGCGATTTGACTGGTATGTCGTCGCACGGAATAACATGAATATCAGTTTCGTTCTTCAGTTGCTTGAGGTGTGTGACGACTGAACAAATACGTAGCGGAACAAGAAAATGTCAGTGACTTTCATCGCTATTACAGACGGAGATTCTTCTTGATTACACTGTGTACTGTTGCCTGGGGCACGTGGACGTTTTTTTCCACTGACCTTTGTGTTCGTGGACACTCTCCTGTTACAAGACACCGTACTGTGCTTACCACAAATGGGGTGCGACTTGTTGCTGGTCTCTTTGTGGATGGTCTTGGTGGACCAAGTTGATCCATATTCCTGTATTTTTCCATGTCATAAAGTAGAAGAGATATTCCCTTCTTGAGAATTCTAAATCCCCAATCTGAACACATCATCATCTGAGCGCATCAACATTTTGCCTCCCAAAAGCGATCAGTTTTTGGTGGCATCACACTACCTACAAAACACCAAATATTGTTAAAATGTAGTTCTGATACATTCCTGTCCACTGCGACTTTATATATCGACTGTGGTTATGTTTTATCTTTAATTTACCACATACGAAAGGTACAGTGCAGTGGAGAGTTACAAGATCGTGTATATGATTTGTTCTGAAAACCGAGACATATTGTATCTTCTAATAATTACCATCTTATCATGCAGTGGCGTAGTGAGGGGGTCTTGCGCCTGGGGCAAAACAAAATTTGCCCCCCCCCAATTCACCTCAGATGTTCACAGAATTGCTGAATTTCCTATCAACTATGAAATGTCAAAAAATTTTAATCAATCCAACACTGAAACCCAAGGGATTTCCCTGGGCATGATATTATTAATGATATACTAATATTTGATGTCAAGCATAGCATAAACATTTTACTGAGCCTTAGTCTTATGGGAACAGATGAATTATGGGTAAACTGGTTATTAATTTAGCGCCCCCCCCCGAACCCGGCGTCCGGGGGCAAATGTCCCTGTACCCCTCACTACGCCACTGATTCTTATGACCCCTAACTATATTGAAGTGTAATTAGTTTTTCGGCTGCACTTGAGTTGACAAGTACCAATATATATTTTAAAAACTGTTTAATTTAAATTCTGTGCGATGACGTCCTAGCTACCAAATATTGTTTCTCCCTCCCACACACTAGAAAGATCGCCTTTATATTTTATTTCGTATTGCAAGGGTTCGAATCCGCGCCCCACCAAACATGCTCGCCCTTTCAGCCGTGGGGGCGTTATAATGTGACGGTCA